GTGCTTCTAGAGTCTCAGGAGGACGTTGCAAATTTAGCAATCTCCTACCCATCATATCCCACACGTGCTCAATTGGGGATAAGTCGGGAGATCTTGGTGGCCATGGTAACAATGTGACATCATTATGTTGAAAGAAGTCTATTGTGACTCTTGCAACATGTGGTCGGGCATTATCTTGTTGGAAAGTTGGATCTGCCAGGGTGTCAAGATAGGGTAAAAGATGGGGTTCTAGAACTTCGTGGATATAACGCTGCGCGTTCATGTTACCTCTGATGAAGATTAAAGGTGACCTGGAACCATAAGCTATAGCACCCCAAACCATAACTCCAACAGTGTGATGAACATGTCTTTCAACAAAAAACTGTGGATTCCTCCTTTCACCACGTCGCCTTCTAACCCTGGCACGACCATCGTGCATGCCTAAACAAAATCGAGACTCGTCACTAAAGACAATACTGTTCCATTCCTGATCCCAGAGTGACCGTTGTCTGCACCACTCAAGGCGATTACGTCGGTGTTCTCGAGTTAAAGGGAGGACCCAGTGTGGCCGGTATGAAAACAAGCCAAAACTTCTCATTCATCGGTAAACACTTCGCATAGGTCTTCCGTGTTCTGCAAACCATTCATTTGCAATGGACCTGGTAGTGGAGAAACGGTCCCTTAAGGCCAATAATCTTAGGCGGCGATCTTCACGGTCTGTTGTTCTACGGCGGCGTCCAGTGCCCCTTGCTCTTTGCGTACGACCTTCTCGAAGCCATGCCTGACAACACCTAACCACAGTGTCTACACTTCTTTGCACTCTAACTGCAATTGCCCGAAAAGAAAATCCAGCTTCCCGAAGTCCCACTATACGGCCCCTATCAAACTCACTAAGTTGACGAAATCGTACAGGTCTCCGTACTCTAGGCATCGTAACCGATCGTAAAGGATGTCATGAACCAAAATCCGCCAACGTTGATTCTTTTCTGCGGCTGAAATATTCATTTTTAGAGCGTTAGTGAATTAAAAAAAGCAGTATAAAATCCGGAATGTCCAACTGATAAGGCTGAACATTTTTTCACTTGTTATTTACAGTAAGATAAATACATTCACCAACTTTTATTAAAATAAAACCATTTAAACCGGGTGTTCGGATTTATATGTCACATAGTATAACTGAACTCCATCAGATTAGTTAAAGTTGAGAGCTGCCTCATAAAGCCATGTTGATGGATCGAAATATGGTCTTTCACATAATATATTCGGTAATAAATTACGATCTTCAAGAGCTTCGCAAAATTGTTCAAGATAGATACTGCACTATAATCACAAACTAAATTATAATTCTTGGTTTTTGGAATGAAACATACCTTTGGGGCCTTCCATTTATCTGAAAAATAAATGTGAATAAAATCAAACCGAACAGAATCTCCTAGAATTCTAATAAAATCCTTGACAAAGAATAATGGAATTTGGTCAAGCTCTGTAGTTAGCTTGTCTTTAGTTTAATATTAACGACTAAAAATAGTTTTTTTGGACATAAACGCTGTAATAAATACTCATTTATTCTATGAAATTAGATATGAGACAAGTAGTCTATTCCGTGTTCCATGATATTTTTTACTTCTACCTATGTGAATTTTTCTTATGCTTACATCTCTAACAGGATTAATATTAATAAAGCAATAAATTGGACAAAATATACTAAGTGACATATAAATCCGAACACCCAGTTTAAATGGATTTATTTTAATAAAATTCTGTATAAGTACTTAATGAAGCATAATGAGTAAATGATAAAAATTTCAAAATGATTGCATTGCTTTAAAGCCCCTTGACCTTTAATAATGTGTGGATGCACTCTGATGTGCTACGCATTCTCCAACGCGCCTAGGCATGCTTCTGATCAGGTGGTCAATGTCATCCTGTGGTATCTCATTCCAGGCAACCACCAACTCCTCTCGAAGTGCTTCTAGAGTCTGAGGAGGACGTTGCAAATTGAGCAATCTCCTACCCATCATATCCCACACGTGCTCAATTGGGGATAAGTCGGGAGATCTTGGTGGCCATGGTAACAATGTGACATCATTATGTTGAAAGAAGTCTATTGTGACTGTTGCAACATGTGGTCGGGCATTATCTTGTTGGAAAGTTGGATCTGCCAGGGTGTCAAGATTGGGTAAAAGATGGGGTTCTAGAACTTCGTGGATATAACGCCGCGCGTTCATGTTACCTCTGATGAAGATTAAAGGTGACCTGGAACCATAAGCTATAGCACCCCAAACCATAACTCCAACAGTGTGATGAACATGTCTTTCAACAAAAAACTGTGGATTCCTCCTTTCACCACGTCACCTTCTAACCCTGGCACGACCATCTTCCAGCTTCCCGAAGTCCCACTATACGGCCCCTATCAAACTCACTAAGTTGACGAAATCGTACAGGTCTCCGTACTCTAGGCATCGTAACCGATCGTAAAGGATGTCAAGAACCAAAATCCGCCAAAGTTGATTCTTTACTGCGGCTGAAATATTCATTTTTAGTTAGTGAATTAAAAAAAAGCAGTATAAAAACCGGAATGTCCAACTGATAAGGCTGAAAATTTTTTCACTTGTTATTTACAGTAAGATAAATACATTCACCAACTTTTATTAAAATAAAACCATTTAAACTGGGTGTTCGGATTTATATGTCACTTAGTATACAATCTAAAAATATTTTATACAAAAATGCCTATTTTTTACTATTTCCGATTTTTCATTCATCTTTCACGGGTCATTAGGTATTTTGAGTTTCAATGTACCGTTACGAATTTTGATGAAGCTTTGAGACTGTCTTAGTACTATTGACCTAATATATCTCCATTGTTATTGGGGTGAGCCCAAAAATTTGGAATTGTTTTACAAAAATATGTAACTGATCTTATTGCTTAGATTGATTGATTTTGACCTACGTTTCCTCTATCTCTTTTCTCGTGAAAAAGTTATGACAAATCTCAATTGACATCGGAGAAATTGATAAGAAGATGTGAATCTTGGATAAATTCAGAACTGTCATATAGCGAGAAAAAAAAATGTCTTGGACCATTGCTATATTTCAATATTTTTTGTCTCGACGATTTGTAAAAATTGTGCCCTTGAAAACTATACTATAATATGTATATTAAATTCGTGCCAAGATATCTTATTCATATGAATTTCTCCGAATGTAACATTTTTGTTGTGAGAGTTTACAAAAAAGTGCGTAGAACGTTAAATGTCAGCATAAATAATCTTTCAAACTAGCTTATTTTTATCTTCTTCTAAGAAATGTTTTCTGAGTTATAATATAAAGCTCATTGTAGAATGCTTCCAGATGATTGAGCTTATTATATTTCCGAACAAATTCCGTAAAAATACTTATAATTGGGCAGGTTGTGACCTAGCATCATACAGGGTTTGTCCGGAAAGTAATAGGAATCGTTTTCTTCCGCCATGACTGTACTTCGGAGCGTACGCGCACCGACTGGATTCGGTAGAGGGCGTTCCTAGCTAACGAATGAGCGGCTGGTCAGTTGTCTCCGAGCACTTGGAGAGTCAGGACAGGCATTTTTGCGCGACGTGTTTCGTTAGAGCAGAGGTACGCGATTAAATTCTGTATGAAACTCGGTAAATCTGCGACAGAGACGTTTGATATGATCAAGCAGGTTTACCCAGGTGTTGCTTTAGCACCAGGCCTTTTTGGACGGCCGGGAAGAGGTCGCTGATGAAGACCGTTCTGGAAGACCTTCGACTTCGACAAACACCGATAATATAACTCGTGTGCGCAAAGTTTTGAACTCAGACCGTCGACTAAGTATTCGTTTAATTGCCCAAATGTTAAATTTACCAAAATCTGTGGTTCATGACATTGTGACACAGCATTTGAACATGCGCAAGGTGTGCGCGAAGATGGTCCCAAAAGTGTTCACTGACGACCAGAAATTGCGGCGAGTGGAAGTGTGCCAAGAAAATTTGAACATGTGTGAAAGTGACCCTCAATTTTTGAATAACGTAATCACAGGTGACGAGTCGTGGATCTTTGAGTATGATCCCGAGACAAAGAGGCAATCTTCCGAGTGGCACACGACGACGTCTCCTCGCCCAAAAAAGGGAAGAATGAGCAAATCCAAAGTGAAAACGATGATCATTGTCTTTTTGGACATCAAAGGCTTCGTCCGCCATGAATTTGTTCCTCCTGGACAAACCGTCAACGCCAAGTTTTACGTGGAAGTGCTCAGGAGACTCAAACGAAGGGTCAGTCGGGTCCGACAAGACATCGCAGCCGACACGACAACGCCCCGGCGCACACCGCCTTTCTTGTGAACAGCTACCTGACCAAGGCCGGCATCCCAATGCTTCCGCAGCCGCCTTACAGCCCAGATGTGGCCCCCCGGACTTTTTTTTATTTCCTCGCCTGAAAAGGCCGATGAAAGGCAAGGCATTTTGAGCCGACAGAGGGGATCCAAGCAACATGCACCACGGCTCTCAAGGCTATTCCGGAGAATGCCATCTGTGACGCCTTCAATGCTTGGAAATCGTGCTGGCAGCGCTGCATCGACGCAGAAGGAGCCTATTTTGAAAGTTTTTAAAGAATTGTAACGATTGGCTCAATAAATTTTTTTAAATCGACTCAGTCCTATTACTTTCCGGACAAACCCTGTATATCTCACCTCAACTGGCAATGAGTCAGTAGCATATCTACCTTTTGTACCACAATTAACTTCAACGGTGAAGTCTTAATAATGGCGGGAGTCTGACTGTCAGTTCGATCGACGTACGCTCATATAAATTTTGAATGTTGCCATTATACCTTTTAGAAGTCGTATTTTTTCAATTCTTGGCTCAATTCTAATATTTCTAGTAGAAAAGCGTTTTCTTCCCAATATCTTTTTAAGGCCAACAAATGCTTCTAACATTTTCTGTTATTTTTGCTGCAATTATGAGTAATTGTGCGTTTATCATTAAGTTGTCCTAATATACATAACAGTATATTTTTTCCAGGTTGTCGAAGAATGATTAAAGTTGATGAAGACGACCCAGTGGGAGGTGAGCTGTTTACTTTACTCAACGATATTTCCTTCCAAATGGCACAAATGTTGAAATAACGAGGCCTACTTAAGCGTGAGACGTGTATTTATATCCTAGTATTTTCTATAATGCACCAGTATCGGAAAAGCGAAACGAGTTTTCAGTGTTAGCTGAAACAGATTTCTTAGAGCTATGAAGACAGTTAATCAGAAGGAAAAAAGTACAAACTGCGCCGAAAAAATAAACTCCTTTCTTCATGTGCTCAAAATAACACTATGTCTTGCTTAAAATTGCTGTCGAGTCAAAAGTTTTTAAAAGATTCATCGAAAAGAGCTTTTGGCTGATTTTATTAAAAACTCGACATGTTCAACAAATAGGACTAGTTCTTCATATAAGACCACACAGATCTACAGAATGAACCTATTTCTATGACTAACAATGGATGGTAAAGTGAGGTAGTGAGTTCTGATTTACTTCAAGACTTATGTGGATGTCTTACACAGTTACCATGTAATTAACAATTTTATTGAACAATACCCAAGGTGTAGGGATTTTTTTTATAGTAGGTGAAGATATCAAAAATCTTTATAATTAACATCATTTGTCAGTAAATATTTTGCTTTGAGATCAAAATAACTCAAAATAATGAAGAATCAGAGTAGAATTCATAAAGGAACCGACAGTTATTTCAACCGTGAAACAGAATAAATAAAGGCTTATTTAAATAACATGCTCTAAATTATTAGAAACAAAAACAATGGTAATTGGCGATTTGGGAACAGCGACTCAAAAAACCTAGATACAAAACGAAACTTTTAATCCTCCAGGTTCGTCTGGCTGCTAAATAAAACCACATATTCCTGAAATACTGTTTAGTGACGACGACGTTTCGGCCACTACGACTCACTTCAATAAAATGAAACATAATTACACTTTTTTATGTGAACCTTACTCATAAAGGGTATATCAGCAATAATTTGTTAGTGCTGGATGATACCACGCGATCTATATGACTTGTTTTCAATGGATATCAACATACGCAGACCCAATTGGTTATTACGTTGTCAAAATTTCCTTTAACCCCAGCAAGGTATCCCACTGCTATGTGAGTGAAGACTCCGAAATGGTGATCGGAGGACTCACGTTGAGGGGCGGGGTGTCATCGGCGATTGATAATGAAGCTTGGAGGGAGGAGGAGGTGCCGTTGCAGTGGTGATCACAGGACTCATGTTGGTGGGTGGGGTGTCAACGGCGATTGATAATGACGATTGGAGGGTGGAGGGGGTGCCGTAGCAGTGGTGATCACAGGACTCATTTTGGTGGGAGGGGTGTCATCGGCGATTCATAATGAAGATTGGAGGGAGGAGGAGGTGCCTCTGGCGTCATACGCGGCAAATCTGGGTGTGACCAATCTCGATTCGCCCGGGGGGTGGCGGGGTTTATTGGGAGGATCCGCACTCGCTCAGGCTTCCCCTACACAATACAGAAATAAAGTAAGCTGATCATTCTCGTATCTTATACTGCAAGATATCTTGCCACCATTATGTTGATGTAATCCAAAAATTAATTCTAAAATTGACCCTCCATAGGGAGATTACTTATTCAAGTGATTCTGCATATGTGGAGGCTCAGCTATTAGATTGCAGACAAATTTGTTTTATTATGGTCTAATACATTATATTAAATATTCGAAATACTTGAATCGTACCATTCATAACTACCCAACAAGATTCAATCAAAATTCAATGTGTATTCCACAAACATCAAAAAAAATTACACAACGATCTCTGTTTTTCTTGGGACCAAAATTCTATAACTTCATACTAGAGTCATTAAAAGTAATTAAATCAAACAGATCATTTAAAAAAGAACTAAAGAAATGGATTTTACAACCACCAAGGTGCTGCATCCACGAAATTGTAGATATGAAAAATCATTATCAAAATTAATAATATTTTTCTTAGATTAACATCCATACTTTTACTTTAGTTATAATTGTCTGGATATTTTTCCTGACATTATGAATTATTATTCAATTCACCAAATTATACAGTATTAACGTTTTTTTTATACACTGACTGTACTTTTAGTTTTTATTTTCAACAAACCCAAACACAAGTGCAAACTTTTTTGGGTGCTTTATGTTTATTGTGCACAATATTTAATATTCACCTGTATTTTGTGACAATAAACATTATTATTGTTATTATTATTATCACGTAAAAGAAATTACAACCCTTGGCCTTATACACAAAATTTGGACTACCTGCTAGCAACTCCAACTAGTACATCTACTAATCAATCTTGGAGGCAACAAATCTAATGTCAGCTTTATAGTTCAATCTGGCGCTCGGCAAAAAGTTTTAGATAGCTTTTTTGAGCAGATCTCGATGTGCTCTTTTCGAATTTTCACTCGTATTGAAAATTTATTTCTACATCTCCATTCGACTTGTCTATGGCAAAAACAGCTATATGTCAAATTAAACATGAGACAACCTCGTAGATTCACGTTCTCACCGGCAGGTTGCAAATGTGACTTCCAGTTTTGACAATATCTCCTATTCTGCCCTCCCCAAGGCAAATGACATTACCAACCAAACTAGAAATAACTTCCTATGACCTAGCTTTTTGAACATTTGGAAAGAGCGCATTAAAATTTATGGAGATTTGACCCTTTTACTATTTATCAAACATTTTTCAAGTACCTAAAACTAGCCAACGAATCAGGGACAAAAAATGGATAAAATTAATAAGACATAATTGTTGAGGCTTAATTATGAAAAATTGCTGCAATTTGTATCACATTGTTTAGCCTGTGAAGCTTCAGTGCAATGAGTTAAAAATAAACCAAACAAATTGCTAAACTATTAAATCATCGAAGTGTATCTACACTTGCCAACATTACAGTTTCACGAAGGTCTGAATTGATGCTATTTTGAAGCATATAATGGAATCAAATTTCATCTTTATCAATGCAGCCAGAGACGGATTCAGACACAATTATTTAATACTTATCGTATGGATAAAAAAGAAAATTTCCTGCCTTTTATTACTTACCTTTAACAGACTGTTTTTTGTCACGCAGAAGTAGAACTTAGCTTTCCATACCGAGATGTGAAGATTAGGAGAGGAGAAGACCCTAAGGATTTTTATACTTTGGATGATGAAGTCGGCAGGTAAGACGTTGATCTAGTTTGATTATCCGGTGTACAATGTTCATTCAACATGTTAATACTGATTAGTATAGTGGCATTTCGATGAGGTCAGCTCAATTATCCTGTTTCTTACGTATAAAGACTTGTTTTAAAATATTGCTGGCAATACAGAAAAACAGCTCAAACGTTTCGTTTCCCACAACTTGAAACACCATTTCTGTCGTTTTTGTAAATTTGCTTTTACGTTATCTATAAGCAACAAAAAGTCTATTCCTGAACTCTCAATCGTTAGGAAACTTTAATATTTGACTGTCATCAAATAATAAAGTATTACTTCCTCGTATATTTTTGTTGTTATTGGAAATTTGGTCAAGCCGAACACTCCGGGCAGAGAGAATTTCCCGTTTTATACGCCACATGTGAATTTGCCATTGTCAAAAATACATAAACAAATTCGTCGGATAATTGGTAATAAATTGTGGGAGAACCAGCCTGTTTATTTGGCTACCGGACAACAAAAACGAAATTTTTCATCTAGTCTATTCGCAAATCACGTGTTGTGCCTATATTTCCAACTTTATATTATATGAATAGCTTTTTAGGGTATCTAAAATATATTTCAGTGATATAGATGAACAGAATTGGAACAATGAATTTGGTAGAAAACAAGAATAAATATCTTTGGAAAACAGCGGATATGGAAAAGTGGATACTGTATCCGCTGGCATCCTTATTTTTGTCACAATTGAATCTAAAATAAGTATCTTGGTGAAGATAGTATACAAATATGAAAAGAAAACTACCCAAAGGTGCTGGTCGAAAAACTTCAATTATTTTGTGTAAAGCTGCAAATTGATAAAAGAAACCTCTGCAATGTGTACTACTAGTCAACCTTCATAATTTAGGAACGTTCATGGTTGTTCTATTTAATGTATGTCATAGTTTTGTATAAAATTAGGTTCTAAACTGTTTGTGATATGTACGAGGGATGTCCTTTAAGTTTTGCATATGAAATAAAACAAACGGTAGGTTGTTTTAAATGACTTTATTGTTTTTCGAAGTATTCTCCACGAAGATTAATACACATCTGCATGCGCTCGAAACAATTTTCGAAGCACTTATTCCACTCGCTTGCTGGCAGATCCAAAACGCCATTTTTGAGTGCGTCAACTGCTTCTTCTGGTGACTGGAACCTTTGACCACGCAGTCTGTTTTTAATCTTCGGGAAAGTAAAGAAATTGTTAGGACTTAGATCGGGACTATATGGAGGATGGTCCAATAATTCCACGTTCTCTTCCGTTAAATACTGCCTTGTCTTTTGGGCTGTGTGCGAGCTTGCATTGTCTTGGTGGAGGATGATTCTTCTTTCGGGGTTGATTTTTCGAAGCTCGGTGATGACTTTTGGCAAACAAATGGTGGTATACAGCAATGTGACATGTGCTACTTGATGGTTCGTCGGAAACTCGCTGAAGGACCTCTTCTTCAAATTCGACCGTTCTTGATACAACCGCGCTGCTGGTCGTGCATTGCAGCTTGTTGCTCCGTATGCCAAACGCATATCCGCCAATTCTTGATTGGTAAAGTTTTCCATTAGCAAAAATTAATTTTTGTTAAATTCTTGCAAACTTTACAAATACGATAGCACGACTAAGGCGATATGGAATGCAGCTACAAAAAACAATCTCTGTAATCGTTCTTAAAGATAACAACACACGAATCTTTTCTACTGTTACACTGAATAACCCATAGTTCTGAAACAACCTGTATATTAACTATAATACCAGAAAACTTACGTTGTTTTCTCGGGGTGGGTCTCCGTTCACACATCTTAATATCATCACGAACAAAATGATTCAGCTCCACAATTTATATAAAATTAGACCAGCACACCAACTTTTTGTGACTAGTTTTCCTCTACAGTCAAACTTGTGGTTACACGCTGATTTTTTTATTTCAGGGGCAAGTTCGGCACAGTCTACAAATGCGTCGAAAAAGTCACGGGGATGAAACTAGCGGCAAAATTTGTAGCATGTCCAAAGAAAGAAGACAAGAAAAATGTAGAGAGGGAAATAGATATAATGAAAACCCTGCAGCACCCCAGGCTGTTGCAGATATATGATGCATTTGAAAATGGGAAAATTATGACAGTTATCTTAGAACTGTAAGTAGAATCAATCAGTGTGCAAGTAGGTCTTTTTTGATAAAAAAAAGATTAGATATTATCATGTAATTCTTGAATCTTTTTTACGAAAAGTAGGTAAACAACTCTGGAGGTAAACAACCACTATTTTAAACTGAAATACGAGCCCCTTCCCACTTCAGTTGGCCCACTTCAAGATTTGTACCAAAATATGCCTTTATAAACTAAACATGACGAAACTATTTACTTCTAAAACAATTTATTTTCTCAAAAACATTTTAGATACACTCTAGTCGTAAAAAATACATATTTGAAATCACTTAGATCTATAACTAATAGAACATCTAAACAAATAAACAATGTGCGAATAACAAAGCAACAATTGAAAGATTACCATTGGGTAACATCACCTTCATTTTTTATTACGGCTGAAATGCTTTGGGACATAGTGTTAACCAAGTTTTGTCAAAAATTTGGTGTAAAACAATCCTATATTTCTTGAAGCTTTTGTCTCAGTTCGGTGATTGTACGAGCAGGATGTTGTCGTAGAACCTTTTTCATCTCGTGCCACAAAGTTTCAATAGGTGACCGATCTGGACTGCTAGAAACCCATTTCAAAAGTGGTACATTATTTTCTTCCATCCATTTTATAGCCTTTTTTGAGGTATGGCACGCTGCACCATCTTGCTGAAACACAAAATCTTGGCCGGATGTCAAACATTCTTCCATTACTGGTAAAAGCGATTCTTCTAAAATTGCCAAATATTTGTTTGTATCCACATTTCCATCAATAAAATGAAGTTTTCCTACTCCTTTTGATGACATACTGCCCCAGACCATAATGGATGCTGGATATTTCACTTTTCTCTTCAGACAGTCAACATGGAATGCTTCATTTTGTTTGCGAATAACTCTACCGCGACTATCACCAACACAAACTTCGAATCGGGCCTCATCACTCACATTGTATTGCACACTATTGTTGAGATGTCCATTGTCTATGTTCTTTAGCCCATCTAAGCCGATTTTTCTTTTGCAGTGGTGTTAATAGTGGCTTTTCTTTGGCCTATAAACAAGTTGTGCAACTTTAGGGTTTTTACTTCACTTTCTTTATAATAAAACTTACCTTGCAAGTGCTAAATCCCAGTTTGTGGGCCTCTCTATGAGTTGTGGACCTCGAAATTATCGTTCCATCAGCGTTACTCCACAGAGCACTTAGTTGTAAATACCTAATTGGCACGCCTGTTTTCCACGATTATTCTTCTTAATGCTCTTCGGTCGGCATTTGTGGTATTACTTTTTTTCACATATCGTGGCTTAATATTAACTGAACCAGTTACGTTATATCTTCTATCTAATATTTCTTGCACTGTACCGCGATAAGTCTAACAAAGTTGCAATTTCTGAGTTTGATTTCCAAGAATTAAAAAATTTAATTTTCAGTAACCGAATTTTCTCACTAATAACCTTTCCTCTACCCATTTTAAAAACCTTAACTACCCAAAACTATTTTAAACGTATTCTGACAGCTGCGATTAATAAAAACAATTGTCATGGCTTTTATTTTTCACAGCCACCTATGCGTTAAAGACTTATTTTGCATTGAAATGAAAATAGGTTGATATGCTGTAATTGCAACATGTGTTATTTTTATGCTGCACATTTGATTAGGGAGTGATAAAGTTGGTGTTTTCTACTATATATTATCAAAATATTCATTGTTAATATTTTAAACCTATAACACCCTGCTACATTTTTATTATTTCTGTTTGATAAGAAAAAAACTAAGATTTCAATAGTTGGTCCAACTGACGTGGGAAGGGGCTCTTAATAAAAGCACTCAAATTTAGTTTGAGATTTGTAAATCACAATCCATACATTCATTACATCAAAAAGAGGAACATGGATGTTTCTAGCATGACTCAGCCTGCAGGCAAATGCATGAGATTACCACAGTTATGACATGTTTATTTTCACGCATTCATATAATATTCATATAGATGTACATTCGGAGATTGGGATACGTCCAAAAAATATATATTAGATCCAAGACAATGCAGAATAAATCATTTCTAGTTTTTGATCTAGCAAATAAAGTTGGACCTTGGCATAGAGTGGGATCATAAATGTAAACATATTTCCTTGAAAATGATACAACTCATGTTTTTTCTCGGAAAAAAAGTATTGGTCAAAGAAAACTGTATGATCTGACTAAATATTTGAATGTAAGCTTTTCACCATACAAGTACTCATATTATATTATCATAGACGCTAGATAATATTGACAAAATTATATGTCAAGTATATGTCTCTGTCCCAATAGGCACGACTTTTTTGTATTTTCTGTCGACGTATCATCCCGTAAACACATACAGGTATATCATTCATGGAAATATTTTTAATCAAATATTTAAAATTGCAATGCCAATTATGTTGTTTAACACGCCACATTTTTGACGCTCTCCGTAGTGACGTCATAACCCTTGATACGTCATTTGAATGTTTGGTTATTACATCGTCGAGTTTCCAAAGGGCTCTACCACGCAAAGCGGTATAAACTTCAATGCGCCCGAAAGCCAAACATTTAAAGCAGCTTTCATACTTGAACATTACCTGTACTATTGTAATTGCATATCACCGGTGGTTCAGCCCGTTGCCTAACTAAAAATAAATACTGTGTTCAGCATAGATTCAAACACCAGAGGTTCTAGAGTTACTTTGGGGCATAAAGTAGTCCGGGGGTTGAAAAGTGGAATCTAATGACCAAGAGACATATTCATATAACGATGCCTCGTCGAAGAATCGGTTCTAAAAATTATGTGTTCGAAACATGCTTTTAATCCATGAGTTTCTTATTTGGTTAGTGGTTGAATGTTCCTGAGTACGATTTCTTTTTTAGAATAGAAGGAGGAGAACTTTTCGAAAGGATCATAGATGACGACTTCATACTAACAGAAAAAAGCTGCACAGTTTTTATGAGGCAAATATTGGAAGGAGTCGAGTTTATGCACAGACAAAAGATCTTGCACTTAGATATGAAGGTAAAAAGAGTCTTTATGTTTCTGGTTCGTTTTGCAATACATGTTTTGTAATGTTATATTGAGGTCCTGATGTCAATGGACGTTATCTACAGTTTTTGAGAAATCATCACCGTTTGGTTTCATTTCCCTTAGTGTCAAAAATTTAATATCCGTGATTCAAGGAATAACATTACACCATATGAAGAATAAAGCATCCCACAAACCGGCGCGAAATATTCGCTTTGGCTGCAAAAATTTCGCGGCAATGAATTCGCGATCAGATTAAAACGCGGCGGTTTACAGACAGGCTCAGACTTGTGCGAAGCGAATGCGATTGTTCCAGCGTTTTCATCGCGGCGTATTTCAGTTCGCCTTTGACCGCGTTTTTGACGCCGTTCTTCAAAAATTCACAATGGCAAAAACAGAATTATTGATAGAAATAGTGAAAAAGTATCCTTGTTTGTATGATTTGTCGAACGATGAATACAGGAATGTGAGAAAGAAAGACAAGATTTGGATGGAAATAGGAAAAGAATTAAATACAAATGGTATGTACCTAATATGTTTTATTAACTTGTTAAATAATTTACAGTCTACACAAATGTGAAAACGAACATTCTATATATTGGGCATAGGCATATCAGAATTAAAATAATTTACGAATTTGTCACGAGTAGAAAATGCTAGCCTTGCTGCCCGCCGAGGATCATTTTCTATATCAGTAAAAGCTCCAAGCACGGGTTCTGGGGGATCTAAGAATTGAAAATATTTGTCATCGCCACTTTTAATTCATAAAAAATTGTGTAAAACACATGCCGTACGTACAATTAGAATAGTAGTATCTACTTTAGTTTCTAATGGCCTGTAAAATATTCGCCATTTTTGAGACAAAATACCAAACGCATTTTCCACGACCCTTCTAGCTCGACAAAGTCTTACATTGTATTTCTCTTTTCTGACGTCTGTTAAAGTCTGCTTATAAGGAAATGGTCTCATAAGGTATGGTTTTAAAGCAAATGCTTCATCACCAATTAAGACGTACGAGCAGATTTCATTTTGCCCAGGGAGAAATCTAGGTGCAGGGACACTCATTAAATTTTGTTCAAATCGTTTTCCCATGTTTGAGGTTTCGAAAATACCCTCATCACTATTTTTTCCGAAACCACCAGTATCAACACATATAAATTTATAGTCCGGGCCAACGATGGCCATAAGTACTATTGAATATTTATGTAAATAGCACCAGTAATTGGAGCCACTGTTGTTAGGTCTCTTGATTGTTACATGTTACCGTCCACGCTGCCAATGCAATTGGGAAATCCCCATCTATTTTCAAATTCTTCAGCATATTTTTTCCATATATTCTCTGTTGGTTCTCGTAAATATATATGCTCCATCTGTCTGCATATCGCTTCACAGACTTCGGTTACGATTGCACTCACTGTTGTAAAGCCAACTCGAAAGCTATGCCCAATGGTATAGAAGGTGTCACCAGTGGCAAGGAATCTATAAAAAAAATCGTTTTTAGGTGATGAAGTAAAAAAAAAGGTGGAAGAATATCAGAGACACATTTGCAAAATATATAAAATCTACCAAACCAAAGACCGGCCAAGCAGTGGGCAACATAAAAAAATGGCAGTGGGCTGACTACATGGAATTTTTCCGTCCTTTTTTGGCATTTGCCAAAACGTCGTCTAATGTGAAAGATATTGACGTCATACATTATGAGACTGCCGAATTTAACTCAAATATATATCAGGAAAGGGCTGGAAATGTAGAAACCGAAAATTTGGAAGACCGCGGCCATGGAGAAGATGAAAATGCTGATGTAGATGCAGAAGATGCACAGAACGCCTCGGCAACACAGACAGCACTACCTTCTTCACTGAACACTACAGCAGTGACTACTCCAGGCCACACCTTTCCGCAGACTGCAACTACACCAAAATATAAAACGAGCAGAAAACGCTATGAACCACCATCTTCGTCTGTACAACAGCTCATTAATTATTTTGAAGGTAAAAAACCTAAAAAAGAGAACGAGGCCACAGATTCACTTTTCTTGGCACATGCACAGACTGTGAAAACACTTCCCTTAAAGCGTCAAGCCCGAATAAAACTAAAAATAGCCGAATTAATAGCGCACGAAGAATTTGAACATATTGAAGAAATGTCTTCAGCGTCTACCCAGAATTCTGCAAGTATGTATGATAGTAGTATGTCGTCCTTCCCAAGCGGCACTGGGTTTACTCCAATAATATACCCAACAGAGGAGGCAAATTCTGCCTCGAATTATTTAGCAACATTTAGTACTAGTGGCAACATGTAGTCCAATTATTACAATAAAATATTTATTTCACGATCCCTGAAGTTTTCGTATTCGATAAGCCTGCTAATTTTAATACATATAATTTCTTTACCTGAGTGTAATAGCAAGTCGTTCTTCTGGCGAAATAGCTTCACGATAATTTGAGTCAGATTTTCGTATTTCATCTTTCACCAAGTTCAATATTTCATCGAAACACTCTGGAGTCATTCTAAAATATACGTAAAAGCGCTGTTCATCCAGCCGAAGTTGTGGCATCAAGGTATGGTATTCCCCAAATTTATTTCGTTCCAAGTTAATATCATGTACCCACTTCCTTCGTTTCCTAAACAAAATTGAAAATATTTGTTTTATGTACTTCGTTAAACTTAATACATACCCAACTATCAAATGGCGTTAAATAAACATAACTTACTGTGCATTTTGTTCCTCTTCTAAAGCAAGAAATAGAAGTGCCTCCTCTTCTTCTGAAAACGAGCTCATTGCAAAAGGCAAAAATAAAATGTACGCAACCTGTCGAAACCTTCACGTTCGCGAAGCGAATAAGACGCTTTGGTATGAATAAACAGGCGAAACAGATTGCGAATTTCGCTCTGAATGTCGTTCCGAATACTTCGCCGGTTTGTGGGATGCTTAAAGCTCGTGATCACCAAATGGAATGGAGTATGGTAAATCTAATGGAAATAATTTTATTAAAATTGTACCCTATATGTCATCGGCATTGAAACTGCACCACCATTAATTAAAGAAAACATTTAATATAAAATGTTATTCTATTATTTTCAGCCTGAAAATATCCTATGTTTAACAAAAACAGGAAACAGAATAAAAATAATCGACTTCGGATTGGCAAGAAAGTTCGATCCAGACAAAAAACTACAAGTCTTATTCGGAACTCCGGAGTTTGTGGCACCTGAAGTTGTCAACTTTGAAGCTATCGGTTACGGGACAGATATGTGGAGTGTAGGAGTCATCTGTTATGTTTTGTAAGTACCTTGATAGAATGTATATATGTAAATGCCTGTACAGTATGTCTGCATCAAGTCTGAACCATAACACGGAAATACGTGAAAATTTGTTGTTTGGTTACAGGTATGGCTTTATTCGCGAAAATATACAGGGTACTCAAAAAGTATAAAGAGTTTCGAAAAATACGTTTCCTAGAGAAAAATGTTCTAGAACAAAATGTATTGGAGGTATGATAAACTGCTGGTTTGGACCGAGTGGGCCAATAATAAAGGACGCCGGCTGTATCTCAACAACTGCTAAGCTTAGAGCTATCTGCTCAAAAAAATATATATAACGGAAGTGGTCAAGAGAAACTAGTAGAAATTATTATAATCGGAGTTGCGCTTGAGAGTATTTGGGGCACCTAAGTCTCTTTAGATATTGACGAGACAGTCTCCTTGATTACCTTCCAACCTGTTTTTTTGCTCATCTCACTAATCTCTCTGATCTTTGGGAGATTCGGACATGGTATTCCCTGCTCGCACTCCGCTATTGTTCGATAAATGTTTTCATTCTAGAATATTCGACAGATTTCAGCTTTGGTTATCCGCCGAACCAACTTGTAGATATTTTTTTTATTTCTAATTTGTACATCTTAAAGCGAAAGCCTCAAAATGAATAGATGTCATCTGACAGTAAGGTAAGTAAACAAACTTTTGTTTCCAAAGGCAACTTGATATTATTTTGTGTATGTTAAAATTAAAGCCAATGAATTTTGTGCCAATTTATATTATAAAGTACTCCGTAATTATGCTGCTGCTGCTTTTCGGAGAGAGAAAAAGGCTTATATGGAATACGAGTATATCCTATCTGGGAGGAACAGTAAAGCAATATGGAGTTCTCTTAGGAAACTTAATATAGTTAAGTCCTCTATAAATACTCTTCCAGATAGCTTCAATGACGCAGATGAAATAAATCCACATTTCTCAAATATTCCGATCATAACCAACACACAAAAGCAATCAGAACTACTGAACAAATATCAAAACAATAAGTTTCCCAAGTCATTCTGTTTCCAAAAGGTTACCAAATAATCTGTTGCGAAGAGTTTCTCATTTATTAAAACTAATGCTGTAGGGGCTGATGGGATCTCACTCATTATGATAAAATAAATGTTCACTTTGCTCCTAGACCATATTACATTTATCATCAATCGCGCAATATCAAAATCCTCTGTTTCCCTGATGCTTGGAAGCAGGCTATAGTCATACCTATTCCTAAAGTAGCGATTCCCACGTCTGTAATGCAACTTAGATCAGTCAGCTTACTTCCCGCATTTGCGAAGCTTTTGGAACGGGAAATGAAGATACAATGCAGTCTGGATTCAGGGAAAATCATAGTACAACAACTGCTCTAGCCAATGTCACTGATGATGTTATAAGAGGCCTTGATCAAGGAAATATTACTTGTTTAGTTCTGCTGGATTATACAAAAGCTTTCGATATGATAGACCCTGAAATTCTGCTAATTAAGCTGTCTTACTATGGTTTCACTGACGCTGCAGTCAATTTGATAAGCTGCTATTTGTCAAATAGCAATCAAAAGGTCCTAACAGCTTCGAAAATGTCACAGTCAACTGCTATAAAGTTTGGTGTTCCTCAAGGTCCCATATTGGGACCTTTACTTTTCTCTCTATATATACAGGGTGACTTCGAAGTTGAGTCATTTATTTTAACAGTGAGTAGATCTGATCAAAAGAAATGTTTGTTCCTTTACCATTTTTCTGGTAAAATTAGTAACAAAGTTATAACCCTTTGGAAGTTTAAGTACCGCCCTGTCTCAATAATAATATTATGTGCTCGTGTTTGGCAACAATGGATATAATCCGCCTTATCGGTTCATCGCATCGGAAACAAAAAAGCGAAAGAATTTGGAACGATGTTTTTACAATTATTTTATTCAGTTGTATACAGTCAGTGTCAGTCGGTAACGCGTGAGTGAATAGTGGTATATGTTGCGTGGCTCAAACGAAATCAAAAATGGCACATGTTTACGAAAATGCTGAACTTGTGGACATGATTCTTATTTACGCGGCATCACGGATTTATGCGGATCGGTTTCCCAATCGAGTGGAACCAACCCCTCGTGCCTTTGTTAATGTAGTACAAAGGGCTCGTGAATCAGGTGACTTAAGACCTCACAGGGAAGAGCATGCCGGTGCTCCAAGACCGCACGATCAAATACAGGTCCGCACTGAAATACTTGTCTGGAGGATACTTTATAAAACAAGGTAACATTTTTTTTTAATTTTTTCTTTATTTTTACACACATATTTTGGTTTATCTTCCTTCTACAATCATTATCTGAAAATTAATGACTCAACTCCAAAGTCGGATTTTCATCAATATGTCCATAATTGCACAATCCATCACTATGCCGATGATACTCAAATGTATTTTAGTTTTCAACACAAAGACTTTAAAATAGCAGAAGCATTGTTCAACGAAGACTTAACAAGGCTAGTAGACGTCGTGTGCTCGCATAACCTAAAAATGAATCCATCTAAATCTTCAGTTATGGTTTTCGGCTCAAAAAACAAAAGAACATTGATCGAAACGGAAATTAACCTTAAAATCTATGATTGCTGGCTTCCTATAATGAATGAGTGTAAAAACCTGGGACTCTGGATTGACACAGAACTAAAATACAAAAAACACGTAAATTCGTTATATGTGCATCATACTGCATTTTGAAGCAGTTTTATCCAAATAGGCAAATAATATCTACTTCAGTAAAACTGAAACTGTGTGAAACATTAATTATATCAAAGATCAGTTATTGTGACAGTATATATGGCCCCGCTCTATCATATAGTGAACAAAGCAGATTACAGCGTATTCAGAATTCGTGCGTCAGATTTTCTTGCGGAATACGAAAGTTTGTTCATATTTCTCATAAATTTAAGGAACTTGGTATTCTGCAGATTAAAGGCATGCAAAAACTTCACTTATTGACACTCATGCATAAGGTCTTAGCTACCAAACAACCACAATATTTGCATAATAAGTTAACACGATGTAGTGACATAAATCAACTGAATACAAGGAATAGAAACATGTTAGTGATACCCTTACATTCTAAGGCTGTCTACAAAAAATCATTCAGCTACAACGCGATTAAATTATATAATGATCTACCTGTTACATTCCAAAACTATACATTATTTAATTTTGAAAAAAGAGTTAAACTAAAACTACAAGTCGAGGTCTGATGATGAATACAAACTGCTAGAAATATGGACTATTCTTGTAATTGTTCTGTTTTTTGTGTTGTTAATTATTCAGTAATTATTGAGTATTATGGATACATTTTCATTGGTAAAATGTTTTATTATATATTTTTTTTGTTTTTTCAAACGTCAAGTTAAAAAACGCTAATCTTAGCGACACTGCGCCTTTGTTGTACTTTTACTTAGGTATAAAATGAAGCCCATTTATTATTATTATTATTATTATTATTATTATTACTATTATTACTATTTTTTGGGCCAACTTTTCCACCTCTTCCCATCCCCAACATAATTGGTTAAATTTTGTTATAGTGTTCGTGAAAATGGTTCAATTTGCAAAAAGAACAAGTCATTAAAGATCATCTGTTATAATTATGAGGGCTACACGTCGACAGCTAAAAGAATATCTGGCTTTTGAACCAATACGCGAATACATTAGAAAGTAGGTTAATAAGATCAATCCCGCTACTATTCGGGATATCCTCTGGAATTCTGTTGATGTAGTGTTTGCCAAAAATAAAAAGCGTGTGGATGCGAGACATAATTCATCAATAAATACGCTGTAAAGCTCGCTCGTTGTTTGACGTCACTGGCCACTTTGACGTCACAAATTTTCATTCTAGTGGGGCGGACGAGGTAACTGACACACAAAAAAACAGTTTTCGGTTCGTTTTTATGCTTGTAAACAGAGTTGTTATTGATGGTCTCGATATTTGTGTTTCGATGTTTGAAGATCACGATACTTCAAAACACATACCGGAAACGGTGTGAATTTCTGTGTCATGATCTGTGTCTAATTTTAAATAAAATATGATTGAGCTGAATGTTTTCGACTGTCCGAGAATGAGTTTCGTTCAGATGATTTTACAACTTCGGGAAGAGAAAAATGTTGCAATGACTCAAGTCAGGCTGAGGACCCACAGGAAATAGCTCGAGCGAATTCACGCTTGTACTCACGAAACATATACACTGAAGAAGGTTTAATTCGATGCTATTCAATGGCAACACGGTGACTTTTATGGTTGTAAGCGGCCATTTTTTGAGGGTGCGACATGGTTGCCAGATTGTGCATTAATATATCGCAAATGTTGTCAGCTCTACATATAAATCTGAGATTGCTATACTTTTATATACACCTTGGGAAAAAACATTATTATACATTATGATGAGGAAGAGAGATGGAAATATACAAAAGTATGTAGGTGCGTGAAAGACACTCGATTGTAGGATCCTATCTGGCAGCGTCGGAGTGTGACGGACAACGGGGTAAAGTAGAAGAGTGATAAAAGAGAGATGGCAGAACGAGCGCTGGCGCCTGCTGCTTAGACGGATGCGCTCAACAAATGCGATTTGTTTCTCCCATTCGCAGAGTTGCCGATACCAATATGTCATATATCTAAGAAATCTAAGTCTACCCAAATTTCGGGAAAAATAGCTGCGGATTCCACATAAGAGTATTCCAAAAATGAAAAAAGTTCAAACTACTAAAATTGTATTAATGTTTCATGGTTCAAATCATATTTTTCATGTTTGTATATTGTTGTATAAATGATTTTGTAATCCCTATTCTTGTTGCCAGTAGAGATACAACAGTATTGAGAGAAATCATGGACCGCTAGATAGGGCTACAACTACCATATGACTATCAAATAGTAGTGATAAACAGGGTTTATTTATAGCACAGTTGCCTGGTGTGGCGAATTTGCGCCATAGGGGCGATTTGACAACTTTGAAGGACAACTATAACGGGTACTATGGTGCCCGGTATTCGGGAATCTGGCAATACCTGATGATTCCTAACGTTTATTACGCCAGATTGTTTGCTGACTTGCGCAGTACAACATGACAATCAACGTGACTGAGCACCTGGTAACCCTGGTTTAAGGTGTTATATTTAAAGAGCTTGGAGCAGTTAGGTATCTAGGTCACATTTTTTAATGTATTTTGAGAAATCCGTAATGTTGAGTAAATTATACTAGATCACGTTTCTTGCTTAGTTTGCTGAAAATTCTACAATAGACGTACATTTTGAGAAACAGAGATTTGGTGACGACAAAATCGTAAAAATATAACGCATTTTCGTAAAATAATTTCTTTGTTGAAAAGACTGTGGCTTGATGACCCATTGAACGAGGGTAGTGTCCCGCTCCGCTTTGAATATTCGAAACACTATACTCCAGCAGCATTCAGCTTCAATGTTATCTTTATGAAGTTCTAACGTCTAGGCCATGCTGATTAAAAGCTTGAATGAATCAACACTTAACTCTAAATTCCCCACAATTCGGGAAGCTCTACTCAAATTGGCAACACAGCGTATCTGCCTATTATTCTCATTCGTGATACAGGTCTGCGCGTCTGCGGTCTGCTGCAAATTTCAGTATGCGTTGAGTCGATAGAAGAAGTACAGTAGATGTGCGCATTACGCACCAGTTCGATTGGACGTCCTGTGAACCGATTTCGATGATTTCGAGATTTCACGAAATCACCTAAATCACTCTACTTATTTTTATGAATGGATAATTGGTTTTGTAGCAATAAAGGTTGCGTCTCATAACAAAAATAAGAAGATACCCACTCTAACAAAAAATAGTACACTCTTAAAAATGTGTAACGAAAATAAAAAGATATTCTAAAAAAAAAAATAAGTTCTCAAAAATAAAAGGCAATAATGAACACAAATGTTTCAAATGGTTCTTCACAGCTGGGGCTCAAAAACATCTCCTTCATTCAATGAACAGTATGTCAGGCGGTTATAAAACTCCTGACGAACTCTCAAGAGGGTAGAAGGCTGTATTTGCCCGAGCGCTTCAACGATTTTCACCTGTAGGTTATGCAAATTGTCTGCTCTCTCATTGAAAGTGTAAACAGTACTTTTCACATAACCCCACAAGAAAAAATCATTGGGCGCTAGATCGGGTGATCTAGGAGGCCATTTTATTGTTCCGTTACCGCCAATAATCCGGTGGCCGAACACACTTTCAAGGTAAGTGTGTACGATCGCCGCATTATGCGCCGGGCATCCATCTTGTTGGAACCAAATATTAGCGAGATCAATGCCAAGCTGCCTAATTGCAGGAACAATCTGCGTCTGTAGTAACGCCAAATATTTTGCTGCCGTAAGAGTTCCATCAATAAAGAACGGCCCGATAATGTTATTACCTAGAATTCCTGCCCACACATTCAGTTTCTGTGGATACTGCGTGCGGACGGGAATACTGAGGTGTTTATTTTCCCGAGACCAATACCGAACGACTGAAGGATTGTGATGACCGTGGAGAGGGAATGTGGATTCATCAGTAAACAAAATGTTACCAATAAAACTTCCATCCCTGTTCGCCTTCTCCATGACCGTTTCACAAAACTCCATTCGACGGTATTTGTCTAAAGGAAATATTTCTTGAACCGTTCCAACCTTGAAGCTATGATAGCCGTTGCGACGCAAAATATTTCTTGTTGTTCTGGATGTGAGATCGGCTATTGGTACCATTTCAGCAATTTTTCTGCTTGAGTATGGCTCAGATACTTCTGCAGCGGCACAAACAGCAGTTTCGATCTCCTCCCTTTTCTCGCTAATTTTTGGTTTCCAACCTTCAGGGTGCATGCAGCTATGGCACTTATGTAAGCAGCCCACCCTCTTGAATTTTTCGTAGGTATTTATAACCGTTGCGTGAGACGAAATTGACCGATCTGGGAAGCGTACCGCAAATAATTCAACAACCGCGCGTGCTGAATTATTCTGGATGTACCATTCTATCATTTGGAACTTTTCTTCTTGCGAGTACATTTTTAAGATATTTTGGATTAAATAAAGACGCACCTTTCCTACACAAAACCCAACCGCAGAGTGAGTCATGAATCCCTTATCACACTTGACAACGGCACGCGCGTTAACGGTAGGAAATATGTACGAATAGCGATGAAAGTAGACGAACCGATGCGCTGTTGCCAAGAAATGATTTCCCATGTATAACAATGGTTTTTCCTAAGGTGTATAGACATTTGGTGGGATATGGGATATCTTGCATGTTTTATTAACATTTTGCGCTATCTTGACGAATAAATGCTTTTTTTCGTATGTTAAAATAGCAACGTCAATAACACAAGCTGTTATACGATCACTTATATCTACTTACTAATCTGGAAAGGTTCAGGAGAAAAACATATACTGCAAATACCTAAATATATATTTATTATATAAATCTCATACATTTTTCTACAAACAAATCAGTATTAACATCATTATGATCCAGATGTTTTCATTCCCCAGCCTTTGTTGGTACCTGCATAAATCAAGAATTAGAAAAAAATTCAATTTTGTTGATATGTTACTACAATTCACAGATTTCTTTTTTGATTAGAACAATAAAGGGTACCCACAGAAATTTTTCTCAGATGTGCTGATCATCATCAAGAGATAACTGTTACCACATTCTCTCTGGGGGCACCCATATTATTGTTCAATAACAATACTTGGCCTTGATTTCATTAAAATTATAGTGAGCGTTACATATCAACCCTACTGCTCTGACAATAGCTGATTTAAAATGAATTATGAAGACTAACTTGGACAAAAAGCAGTACAAATCATCACTAGTTATTGAGTCATATAAAAACTTACAAATGTTATGTTCTGCAAATATCCTTTAGAGCTGTGCCTTTAAGTTAGATCGGAAGTAATCACTGAGCTTCTGATAATTCTCAGGACCTCAGGGGTTGACAATGGCAGTTGTTGAACGTGGCGCTTCACTGTTCAAAGAGTGATGTGGAGATACAAACAGGTACGATCTTCAAATATTACATTCCTAAAATGAGTAACCGCTGCATCTCTGATCTTCCTCAGGATCTGCCAGAAGCCTGGCTAATGACTTGGATCACCTTAAAAAAGAAACAGTTTTGATGTGGAGTTTGTCTCATAGTATTTACAAACATAGGTATTACAGCTTTGTGTACTTACATTGTTATACTTCACAACTCCGAACAAAATGCATATGGCTCCAATAACATAATAAGGACTTTGTTTAATTAAAATGAAATGTTAAGAAAATGACATGCTGAAGAAAGTAAGGTTATTTTTGCAAAGCACAGACCACAGAGCACAGGAAGAAACCCGCCGGAAATTTAAATCTGGCCAATCAGACGTCAGTTGTGAATAAATCGCCATTTTTTGAGGGTGCGACATGGTTGTCATATATTATGCACCAGCAACACTGCTTTGTTTCCCATATGAGTTTCACCCCTGCTTGTACTGAAAGCGGATCACATGTTCCCCTGTCACCCCTCCAAGCCTGGTACCTCCAGTGTTGTCAGATCGAACGCTACGTTGCCAGTCTCGTCACCTAATTTGCAGACCTTGAGGAGCAGTTATGCATTCTGAGATAACGTTACTGCTTAGGGTTTAAGTTTGATAAATCTCTTAATCAAAAAGCTATAAATCTGTCAAAAGTCGTCAGTATCTGTTTTCTTCTTCACATTATTGTTATGAATACGATTTCGCTATTTAATCGTTTTATGTAACTGGTTTTATATATTTTCTCTCAATGGCAGGTTAAACAAACCTTGAGAATAGAACACATTTTTTTTAAGTTGTTGTGTTACGACTCTAGCGAGGTCTTATTTTTCCGCAGGCTATCGGGTTTATCACCATTCATGGGCCACACCGACATCGAGACGATGGCGAATGTAACAGTAGCAAAGTACGACTTTGACGATGAGGCTTTCGACGAAATATCGGAAAATGCAAAGGACTTCATCAGGAAATTGCTTGTCAAGGACATGAAGTGAGTATTTCCCTTTTTGTATTCATACACGCTACATCGCAACCATGGTCATATCATAAGTCTGTCTGTAAGTCACTATGTTTCAACTAACTGTGAAAGTTAATCAAGTGTTGAATATCATACTCATTTGGTACATTATATGTTGATGTATTAGAAGAATTCAGTCATTTATTTTGCCACCAAAACATTATAAACTAGTGGAATCGTTAAATAAATACATGCTCAATGATCTTGGTTCCAAGTATTTTTTGAAATTATGATATTTAGATGTTATAGAATTTCAAAATACTTTCAGTTAACAAAATATACGGTGGGTTCAACCCGTTTTAAACTATAAAACGAATTAGCAAGCTCGAAGATTTCAATTGATAGTAGCTTCTAGTTTCAGAAACTGAGTTGCTGTTTCCTAATATAATTCTGACGATATTTTTCACAGACAGATTTTTGAAATGATTATGTGCCCTTTCTTTACACTTCATTTTTCTCAAAGAACCCAAATTAGTAACATATCTTCGTTGTCAGGTACTTCAATTTAATTTCTATCAGGCTTTATCTGTTATATGCCCGGGTGATATGTTTCTTATGTCAATTTATATAAGCATGGATTAAAACATGTCGTCGACCCTGTATAAAAATATCATTTTGGCTTTTTGATTTGCTAATCAGGACCTGAAGATACAACGATATGAACAATCCCTAAAATTAGGGTTGAGATTTGGAAGGCGCTTCCTTTATTATATACTAAGTGACATATAAATCGGAACACCCAGTTTAAATGGTTTTATTTTAATAAAAGTTGGTGAATGTATTTATCTTACTGTAAATAACAAGTGAAAAAATGTTCAGCCTTATCAGTTGGACATTCCGGTTTTTATACTGCTTTTTTTTAATTCACTAACGCTCTAAAAATGAATATTTCAGCCGCAGTAAAGAATCAACGTTGGCGGATTTTGGTTCTTGACATCCTTTACGATCGGTTACGATGCCTAGAGTACGGAGACCTGTACGATTTCGTCAACTTAGCGAGTTTGATAGGGGCCGTATAGTGGGACTTCGGGAAGCTGGACTTTCTTTTCGGGCAATTGCAGTTAGAGTGCAAAGAAGTGTAGACACTGTGGTTAGGTGTTGTCAGGCATGGCTTCGAGAAGGCCGTACGCAAAGAGCAAGGGGCACTGGACGCCGCCGTAGAACAAAACAGACCGTGAAGATCGCCGCCTAAGATTATTGGCCTTAAGGGACCGTTTCTCCACTACCAGGTCCATTGCAAATGAATGGTTTGCAGAACACGGAAGACCTATTGGCATGCGAAGTGTTTACCGACGAATGAGAAGTTTTGGCTTGTTTTCATACCGGCCACACTGGGTCCTCCCTTTAACTCGAGAACACCGACGTAATCGCCTTGAGTGGTGCAGACAACGGTCACTCTGGGATCAGGAATGGAACAGTATTATCTTTAGTGGCGAGTCTCGATTTTGTTTAGGCATGCACGATGGTCGTGCCAGGGTTAGAAGGCGACGTGGTGAAAGGAGGAATCCACAGTTTTTTGTTGAAAGACATGTTCATCACACTGTTGGAGTTATGGTTTGGGGTGCTATAGCTTATGGTTCCAGGTCACCTTTAATCTTCATCATAGGTAACATGAATGCGCAGCGTTATATCCACGAAGTTCTAGAACCCCATCTTTTACCCTACCTTGACACCCTGGCAGATCCAACTTTCCAACAAGATAATGCCCGACCACATGTTGCAAGAGTCACAATAGACTTCTTTCAACATAATGATGTCACATTGTTACCATGGCCACCAAGATCTCCCGACTTATCCCCAATTGAGCACGTGTGGGATATGATGGGTAGGAGATTGCTCAATTTGCAACGTCCTCCTCAGACTCTAGAAGCACTTCGAGAGGAGTTGGTGGTTGCCTGGAATGAGATACCACAGGAGGACATTGACCACCTGATCAGAAGCATGCCTAGGCGCGTTGGAGAATGCGTAACACATCAGGGTGCCTCCACACATTATTAAAGGTCAAAGGGCTTTAAATCAGTGCAATCATTTTGAAATTTTTATCATTTACTTATTATGCTTCATTAAGTACTTATACAAAGTTTTATTAAAATAAAACCATTTAAACTGGGTGTTCGGATTTATATGTCACTTAGTATACATATCCCTTTCTATAACTGCGATGAAAATTTTAATATACATGGTGGTTTAACGGTAAAGTAAAATGCTCATGCAAGTGATTGTGGGATCATTTAAAAAAACTTCATATGAACGAAAATGTCTTGAATTTTAAAGTATATGGTGGTACTGTTTTCAGTTTGAGTACACTTGTTTCAAACAAAAATCTGGTGTGCCAATGTTTTTCCTATAACAAACATCATTTTTATAAGTCTCTCCACTTCTGAGCGGCTAGATTTTCCCTTCAATTTCCATTTGGTTTTCAATAAAATATCTAAATTGGCAAGTCGATATCACCCAGAATTTAAAATTTAACACGTTTTGTATAAATGTCTTTATTGAGCCTTTTGCTTAAAGTAGAGCCAAGAATCACAACCGTGAATATTTTAAATTTTGAAACCTACATCAATCGTTTTCAAAACTTCCGTCAGTACAATACTCGTCGGTAACAAACTAGTGATATAGCTCTCGTTCGTTCGACCACAGACGGCCAACCATAGACAGCTGTATCGTGCTATTTGGCTCCTCATCAGCATGGTCTGGGCCTGGTCTCAGGTAGAACAACAAACGAAAGCAAATATTCTATAACTAGGCTATAAGGTTCATCGAAATAAGACGTCACAAATTACCATCTATTAAAAAAATCTATTACTAGATTCTTCAATGGCGAGTAAGCCGTATCTACTATACCACCAGGACCGCCGGCATCTAGCGGTCACACAATTCTACTAAAAGATGGCTGTATTATTTCGTTTCGAAATGTATTTTAGTCAATTTTATAACAGTTGTTCCTCTACTCTGAGACACTTCATCAAAAACAAGATAGACATCTTCTTTGAAACCATTTTAAGTACGGAAATAGCATTATCCACAACGCATCTGTTTCTGTTGCGAAATATACAGGGTGATTCACAAGTCGTGACTAGAAAAGTAACATCATACTCAGCACCGCATCTTAAGGGGGGGTCTTCTATGTTAGATTTTTACCTCGAGGGCTTCATTAAGAAGATACGGGGTGTTGAAGTTTAAAAATCAAAAACAATTTTTTCAAAACCGTCAACTAAAACTAAAATTTGGTATGTGGATTTACCTAAGTATTATCCACACTCAAAAGTCTTTACTTGAATGATAAAGGGTATTAGTGGCATTATTTTTTCAAATAAAAATAGTACGCCACTGTTTTTTTTTTCAAAAGGCACAATTTTCCGAATTTTACCTTCTATTTGCTACATATAATTACTCTCGTTTTTTATCTAGAGTGCATTGTTTTCGTAAAAATAAAAAATAACAAATTAGACAAACAAAGCTTTACTTCAATGAATGTTCAAAAAGACCACAATTCTGACGAATACAAGTGCAGAATCTTTTTAATAAAGAAAAATGAATTTCCGCAAAATTTGTTGTGGCTTGAATTTGATGGAACGCGTTATCTATTCTTTCTTGTAACTAATCAACAGTATTAATTTCTTCAGCATACACTAATTGTGTAAAAGCGCCCCACAAAAAGAAATCCAGGGGGTTCAAATCAGGAGACCTCGCAGGCCAATGCACCGGTCCGTTTCTGCCAATCCATCGTTGTCTAAAATGATTATTTGATTATGCGGCTTTGCCACGACGAACATGCCGTGGGGCACCGTCGTGCTGGTTCCACATTCTCACGCTCGTTGCTAACGGAACACCATCTAGCGAATTTTCTATATAATTCTCTAGAAAAGCTAAGTATGAGTGTGCATTTAAACGTTGTAGAAATACGTGCATAAAAAGTTGGCAATCGAAAATGCCGCATTATACATTTTTAGAAAATCTGTGGTTTGTTACAGAACGGGGATTTTCTAACGACCAAATATGTTCAATAGGAAAATTAAAGGTTCCACTCATCGTAAAAAGCGATTCATCTGACCACAAAACCAAATCGACGATTGTAACTCGGTTCATTATGAATGATCTAATTTGCTTTATTTTTATTTTTACGAAGACAGTGTACCTAAGAAAAACACAAGTGTAATTATATGTAGCAAATGACGTACTATTTTTATTTGGAGAATTAATGCCACTAATCTCATGTATTTCCGCTACTGGTGCACGTTAAAAACTCTTGAATGTGGATAATACTTAGGTAAATCAACACACCAAATTTTACCTCATTCCAGTTGACGGTTTTGAAGATATTAAAAAAAATGTTTTAATTTTTAAACTTCAACACCTCTGAAGTACTCGAGGAAAAACTGTTATATAACGAGTGATTTTTTAAGAGATATAGGATTTGATTTTCAAAAAAAAAAAACACAAAACATTTGAAAAAACGATTAAATCTTTATTTGAGTCGATAGAACGGTCGATATAATTTAATGTTTAAAGATTATTTGATGCAAATGTTGGCCGCGGCTCCGCTTTAGATGGCCCATGCGCAAGTTCCAATTTTGGCACACTCTCTCCAACATATCGGCCGGTATCTCACAAATAAATGCTTCAATATTGGCTTCCAGTGCGTCAATAATTGCTGGTTTATCCCTGTAGATACTAGCCTTAACATGGCCCCACAAGAAATGGTCCAACGGCGTTAAATCACACGATCTAGGCGGCCAATTGACGGGCCCCAAACGTGAGATAAACTGTTCACCGAACTCGCCTCTCAATAGGGCCATTGTTTCGTGTGCGGTGTGGCATGTGGCACCGTCTTGTTGGAACCACATGTCAGCCAAGTTCAGCTCTTCCATTTTGGCCATTCACAGTTACGTTCCGGCCATTGTCGTCTTTGAAGTACGGCCCGATGATGCCACCGGCCCATAATCCACACCAAACAGTAATTTTTTCGG